TCTCACCACGCAAATACAGCTTTCACTTCAAATAAGGCAGAACATCGTCTTTCTCATTTTACCAAAGCACTAAGTTCACTTTTACCTTGCGTTAAATCCAAAAGAGCCTTCTGAAGCTGCTGCTGTTGCAGTTAATAAGACCCTTGCCATTAATATAAGTTCTACTGAGTAAAACCAGTTTCACATGATAGAAGTACACTTTGTAATCTGAGGATATTTCAGTCAAGATCCAGAACACTTAGTTTTCTTCACTGGCTCCTTGCCATTCTACCCACATTTTCATTTCTGTAAGTTTTCCCACAGATATTTCTCTCCTGTAGATTGTACTAACCCACCAGCCCTGTAACGCTTGAATATACTTTCTCTAGTTGAAGTTTGTAAGTCCTTTTAGCTTAATCTTCCCAAGTTACAGCCTTACAACCTGACACCTACTTTATCCTAGGAATTTTCAGTTGTGACTCATGCTTAAACTTGACCTATGAACTACCAAATTGCTTATTGTGAAATATCAGCCTTATCTCTTGCAGTAATGCATCTAAGAAAAGTCTGTTTGAGCTCGTGACAAACAGGAGATGAACATGTGTTTCTTAGCCACAAGATGAAAACCCTTAAGACTTTTAAGGCCAGTGATTTGTATATTTATGTACCTGCTAATTAAAAAAATAATAATAAAAAGTGCTTGTGAGACTTGGGACACTACAGTGATATGAATAATTCTAATAAAAAAAATCAGTATACTGCTGTAGTATTACTATAGAAAATATTTTACACTGTATCAGCACTGAACTTACCAGTAATTAGATCTGTTCCAATTTTTCTAAGTTGTTAGCAACATGCACCAATTTATATTTACTACTATAAGGCTCAAGAGCCTGAATAACAGGTAAGGACCTTGAGAGGCCAAGCACAACAGAAACACCAAACAGAAAGAAAATCTTCCCCAGCTGTTGGATTCACATTACCGGCTATATCTCCACTGGCTTTTGAAACAATCTCCTATTTCTGGCTCCTCTCTGTACTCACCTTCATGTCGCTTAAAGAAACAAAACAAAAACATTCCACAAACACTTCCTAGATGGATATGTAATACAGGGAGAGAACAAGATGAGCTCAAGTCTTTCTCTTCATCTCCCAGGGACCTTAAACTTGAATTTAAATGGTCCAAAGGTTGCCAGAAATGAAGATCAGTGTTCCCATACTTGTAGCACGACAATTTGGAAGCTTGAACTATGAAATCTGCTTTACAGAAGTCTACTTGTCCACCGGGTGTAGCTTATCCAGTACACAGAACAGTAACTAAGGCATTCTTATATTGGTAAGGCCCAATTTAGTGCTCATATGTTCAATATTCATGACTATTTTGTCAGACTGCATTAAAAGATTTAACTTCACAATTCCCTTGTGAAAGAGAGAAGTACCGAATGTTTTATTGAGAAGGAATATGAGGCTCTGACAAGTTAAATGATTCAAGAGATAGCAATGAAATCAAGAGTTTGCTATTCAGGAAAGGTATAGCTATTCATACAAATAAAAACATGCACAATTTCAATAGATGCGTCAATCTCAGCTAAAAAATGAAAGCTATGTGAGCAGTGAACTTTTTCTCTCTACACTGTAATTTAATCGCTAGGATAACAATGCTGTGTTAAATTTAATTTTAGTAAAATAAAGTGCCTAAGAATGTTTACACAATCCACATAAGTGTATATCACTTCACAAAAAAAAAGAGGTCAATAAAAAGAAATAGATTAAATTTTACTTTTATGAGCAATATGTCAAATTTCTTCAAACTCATTATAGAATAAAACTGCACTCACTATACTCCAAAAGTTAATGTAAAAACATCATTATCATATAGTATTTCTTTCTTCACTGCCTTATCTTGATTATATGGATCATAATGAAGACTGACACTCTGTATTACTTCTACAGCTTGTATTGTGGCTATGAATTTTACCTTAAAAAAGGCAAGAGAGGACCAGATCCATAAAAGTTTTTTTTCACTTATTCCAGTAGGAGTTAGATGTATAAACATGCTAACAGATCTTTATGTATATATTTACAGTTCCCATGAAACACAACACTGAAGGCACAAAACATTCATAAACACTGGCAGATCACATGACAAATCATAGCTAATTTTAATCATGTAAACAAGGGTCCATTCAATGGCTCACTGAAGTCAGAGGGAAGTTTGCCATTTAATTTCAGTCTTACTGAATCTCTAAAAGATAATTAATTCCCTTTTAAAAATGGGACTCTATTTCATTGCTAAAATAAAATACACTAGATAACTCCACTGCACGCTCCATCCTTTGACCTTTCGTCACCAACAAACCAATCTATCACCACACAGAAAGCACCTATAACTCTACTTACACAAAAGGTTTTTCAGATGTTTTTGAAGAGGCAAAATGGCAAATTATACCTGCTCAAATCTAATACGTCGGTTTCAAGAAATACACAGCACTGTCCATGATTAGAAAATGTTATGGATAAAAAAAAAAAGTACCTTTAGCCAAAGGAGAAAAGCAAGAATGGGGAGAGATTCATTCCCAAGGGGGAAGATGCATCTCTTCTGGACAGTCTTTTCCTCCCAGTCTCCAGCTACATTACCTGTGCCTACTCCAAACAGGCCTCTGCAAAAATTCTCAGAAATAGGTTTGACAGTCTGGGAGGGGAAAGGTCACCAAAAGCAAAGAAAGCATTCTAGGTTTGAGAACAAGCTGTTATTTCCAATTCCTGGATCCCTTATAGGTGGAACTAAGGATCAGCTAATTGCGGCTTATTCAGCACATCATTTACTAAAAATAAACACTCCTATCCTCTCTTCTCAGAGGACACCACCCTTCTCTGAGAAACTGTGTTGCAATGAAGCAGGCAGTCCCAGTAATGCTTCTTACAACCTGATCAGGAGATTATTCAAGTGCCTATTCATGAATATTCAGCTTTTAAACTTGTATTTCATTAAAAGAAGAGGAAAAAAAAGTTAACACCTGTAAGCAGATCTGGAAGAAGTGAGCACACACACGGTACAACCAAAGATTGGTACAGAATCAAATTTATCTTTCAAACTATATGCTACAATCAAACAACCAAAGGAAGGAACTCAATCTGAACTTCTGTAGCTGACAACTGACAGCTATGTATCAATACCAACTGGATACACCTTATTTATTCATAAAAATACAGGACTATCTAAAACAGAATCTCCTCTCAAGTTCTGACATGTGTCATCTACAGGGTCATACTTCTGATACCTCACAGGTTTGAGCTGCTGACATTTCAGACAGTTTTCCCTTGACAGATTCCTTACCAGCTAAGCTAACTCCAATGCCTGATGCATGAAACCAGAGAATAAATTGTGTAGTTTCTCCTCATTTTTTTTTTTGTACGGAGAATAAAATTCAACAAAGGTGCGAGCACATGATGTACTGCTCTTGCAAGATCGCACCCAGCTGCACTTAGAGCTCCAAAGAACCACAGTCACCCTCCTCACGAGGCACATTGCTCCAAAGAGCAGATCCATCTCCCCAACGCGCTTCCAAACACATGGACGTGAGCACCACAAGAGCGTCCTGCAACAGCAGGAGGCTCTTTCTGCAAGACAGAAACCAAAGGGACAAGACTCATCCACTACTTGCTAATGAGGACCATAAGGTTCACTTGAGGAATCATTCAAAACAAGCTATCTGTGAGATTAAGATACCCACCACCACCACCATTACTCATATCATAGAAGCAAAACACATTTCTTCTAGAAAGTAATACCAAGAAGCTCTTTTGTGAGGGAATGTGTTGAAAAACTCAGAATCAACTTCACGGAAAATGAAGATACAAAAATACAGACTTAGTTTTGCAAGCAGAAGTTAAAATTTAATATTATTTCCTTTGTAACACAGAGTCATTGCCACACTGTGCAAAACAAAATCGCCAGAGTTACAGCTTACTTTTTAATTTTAAGGTGATTAACAGGACTATTATAGAGCAGTCTAGACAGAAATTGCTGACTTAAGACTAAATTGCTTGAAAGCAGCCTGGCTCTCTAGGCACCATGGAGTCATTTGGAGAACATATCTGCAGTCCAATGGGTTTTATTCCCCCCAGTGTCTCTTCAGTTATATGAAAAGCAATTGCAGTGCTTCAAAACACATGCCTTTTAAACAACTCCTCCTGCCTTCCTTCACTTACCCCCTTTCACACTGCATAAAAGAGTTATTAATTCCTAAATAAATGGAAAGAGTAGCACTTAACACCAAGATGCACGAGGATATTTAGACTCCTATCTTCTGTTTAGAGGGCCAGTTTAAACAGGAGTGAGAAAAGCCAAACAATTCTGTGGATTTAGGCCCAAAAGCTCAAGCCTACAAACAAGCACTTTTATCTCACAGGTGCAGTCCCCAGGGCGACCACTCGCACACTGAGCAGGCCTCAGTGAAGGTCTCCCAGCATGATCGCCAGGAATACACTACAAAAAGCTACTAACCCCAATGTAAATTAGAAAATTCTCCTTCATTCGTCTTCTGGGAGAAAAAAAAAAAAAAAAGCCCTGACAGCACAACTTCTGGGTTCACATTGGTTATCTCTGCTTCCTCATAGCACACAACAAAACTCAAACCAATTTGCTGCCCACTTGGTTTTTGAGGACCGAATGTCTTTCCCTGACGTGGCTGCCACTCCCAGCACTGCCATTACTTGACCCCAACCTCAAAATGAACGTTCGTCCTTGAAACGTGTAGCAGAAACCCCAACACTGCTAACGCAGATGGCCCCGGGGAGAGATGCTTGGGCAGAGGCACCAGAAGGAAGATCTTTCCTCATGGAGGCCACCTAGGCACAAGCATGGAGAAGCTGGAGAAGAGGCCATGGTGCAGTGGGGGCTTCTCACCTCTAGTCATGCTGCTGTGACACTGCACAAGGCCACCATCGCCACCATGATCACCACCACCTGAGCTCCAGGTGCCCTCAGGAGTCCCCACGCTGCCCCTGGCCCCGCTCACCCTTCTTGTCCATAAGCCACATGAAGAAGAAGCAGGGTGCGAAGCCGATGGGCCCCCAGAAGACGAGCAGGGCGATGTCCCAGCTGCTGAAGCCGAAGGCCAGGCGGGCCGAG